CCAGTTTATGGTGCACGGGACAGTTTAAGATGCACTCAAATTGGCCAATGGAATAGCTTGATTTGTGGAATAGCCAATCCAATCACTAGAAAAATGAAATCGCCAAAAAATAAGCAAAACCCGCATACATATTTTAAGCTTAAACCGAGCACCATAAACCATCCCTCCTATTTTGCCTGGAAATCGAAGTAAACGAACGCTAAGCTGAAGTCTATTCAAGCCGATTAAATAACCAGAAGAATGTCCAACCTTTCGGCTTCATGCAGCACTTTCCAGAATTGAAATCCCGTTCCTGAGAAACGAGTAAACTGCATTCGACGACGAAGTCTCGTTCAAGTGCACCATAAATTGGCCATCTACGTTTTATGTAATATATATATTGATATACCGTTTCCTGAGTATTGATGGCTTTAGCGCTGTTGTTGTAATCGAGCAAGAGCCGCACCATTTCCAAATGACCGTCTTCACACGCGATCGAAAGGGGTGCCGTGCCAAGCTATAGGCTTCGGTGATATATATATATTCGTATAATATGCAAAATTACCTTGCTGGATAGGGTAATATTTGGACTGTGTAGAAGCACAAGTCGTACTGCGTCTAGCACGCCTCCCTTGGCAGCTGTCAACAGCGCCGTTTCGCCATTCTATATATATAGATGTTCAGTTATATATATATATATAATTGGATATAATTGGATATATTAGCTTACACTGCCAACGCGATTGATATCATCAATGCCGTCTAAAAGAGTCAGTAAGATGTCCATCAGGCCAAATTGGCACGCTAAGTACAATGGTGTGACGCCATTACGGGGAATACCTAAAGTATATATCAATATTTAATAAATATATCAATATTTAATAAATATAAAAAACACTTGGTTTTAGTATTGGTTAAATTAAATTCAGTTCATTTTTCGAATTTGCGACTTCAAACCGCCCTAGTCCATACTAATTGTGATTAGATCGAGTAAGTACCAATGGTAATGTTGTTGCCACGTACATTATGAAGGACATCTTCATTTGTTCATAACCGTAGAATTGTTTTCGTACGGAGATAGGAGCCTTCTCCGAAGCCTCACCCATGTATAACCTATTTAACGCATATTTAAGCTTGAGGTTTGTATACTTTGAAGCAGCGTTAAAGGAGTCTGACTCCTGCTAAATCCTTGTTTTTATACTATTGTTACGCGGAATCAAACGTTAAACATCTACGAAGGAATCCATTGAATTCTCCTCGAAAAACTGTCTTGGCACACGATGACTACCGTAACTTACAGTATTTTCTGAAAATTTATGACAAAATTCACTAGCTCTAAGTATCGAGTTATTTGGGGTATGATGCCTTTTGACACCCACTGTACTAGTACTACTACGTATAGTACTACCGGTACTTTATTGGACAAATGGCGTTCTTACTGCGTGTCGCGGAAGAGTGTCGCTGCATTGGGGGTAATCGCCAATATGTATAGATAATCTGGGAAACACGACAAATTCATCCGACACGATTCTGATTGGACATTATTCTTTGATTTTGTAGATGAGCAATTGGCTCAAGTTCTGGGGTTTGCAGATCACACTTTCCATCGCAGACCACAAGACGGTGCGCCACCCGAAGGCACCCGAGGCCGCGGCCGCCGACACTTCAAGAGCCCTCAAGCGCCCAGGACTCAGTGAGCTTATAGACATTCCCCGTATCTTTCCAATCCGACTGACGTGGACGTGATCGAGTGTGTAGGTGGCGGCAATGTACGATGACTCCGCAACACCAGCGAGCGCACGACACGGGCAATCACAAGGGCCAGCTCCCCACCACCATGTACATCATGTATCATTCCTGCACTATTCATTCGCATCGTAGGAACACCGAACGAAGGCGACAATTCCCTTAGGCCGCATGGCCGGCATCAAAGCGCCCATGCTCAACACGATGTACTCGTACTTGCATGACAATTGGACACTCAATGATCTCTGTGTGTAGTTAATCAAATTGTTGCACCAAGCCACCAAGGCTTCAACCAACGACCAAGGACAAGCTGCAGCCATGACGAGCTCCCGCGCACATAAGTCCGTACATGCACACAACGATTCACATATTCGGCAAAGTCGAGATATAAATTCATATATACAATTCGTTATAGTGTGTTTTCTCGTTTACGCTTGCGAACTTCATGAAGCAGATTGGAGTATGTGTTCGTGTATCCCGTGTACGCTTGTTCGAAGTGTGAATACGACTGATACTTGTTGAATGCTGTCGCGATCATTTGCCGTTCGGAATACTTTTTGCGGTCCGACTTGATCATTAATTTCGTGTAGTCTTTGAGGGCACAGGGGCGGCCATTTTTGTGATCGACGGAGAACCACTGCTCCCACGCATCTTGCGCCGACCGAGCAGTTGGAATTATCTTTGGCACAACAAAGTCCTGCATCGAGCGCTGAGCCAATGGAGGCTGTTTGTTGACAATCGCGGACAGCTCACTGGGAGTGGCTGGCGACGAGCTGAGGACTCTGCTCGTCCGATCGCCCTGCAGATGAGTCAATACATATTGAGCAATTTGGTCTACAATTTCCGCCACGTTGGTTGGTTCCACGTTGACACCGTGCGGCCCTCGGTGGCGCGTCTGCAGTAGATGTCGGGGTTCGATGGCTTCACTGAGACTTTTCGTCACCAAATATTCGCAGCACGTTTTGGTGTCATCCCAACGACACCAGGCCATCAATTCGCGGAAGTTAAACTTCCGTTCCGGGGACTCAAACACACGGTAGAAACACCCACCACGACGCATGCTGTGCAAAGAGATGTTGACCGACAGCGAAGGGGTGCTTTCAACGAGATCGTTGATTTGTTTCCGAAGAAAATTCTGTTCCATGGCTTTAGCCCAGTTGATCTTTACGCTGCCATTGATCAGATACGTGACTTGTGGAAACACAAACGCGTCCTTGGTGACATTCATCAATGTCGCTCCAACGGCATTCACATACTCGTTGTAGAAACCACACACACGGAGGCAGGGATACGCTCGCTCGTCCACCAGGTTATACACTTGGCACTCCTTTTCGACACTCGCTTTTTTGTGCCAGCGCAGACGAACGGAAACAAATTGGCCACCAGGCAAGTCAACAAGGGCGACGTCGCACCACCTGAGCCCAAGAATCTCGCTGATCCGGAAGCAACCCAGGTAGCATGCGCAGAGCAAAAACCGCAACAATGCGGCCATGAACGGGTTCAGGTGGGCCAACGAGTTCACCAAAAGGGAGAGTTCGTGCACGGTGAGGGGGTGGGACTTCTTTTCGTCGTCAATGTTATGTTGTCGGTTGTACTTTTGTAACCCAACAACGTATTGTTTGGTTTCCATGGCCTGTGCTGGATTCGGATCGATCATGCGTTGTTTAAAGTACGACACCAAAGCCGTCTTTGCGGAGTCGATTGTCCTTGCCTTCCTACCCAGTGAGTACAGGTGGTTGATTGACATAGTCCCGTTCTGCGTCATCTGGGCCACATGTCGCTTGTACCCATCCGAAAATGCTAATAAAAAATACTACGTAGTATTAAAATTGTTTAGAAACAAATGTACCTGAAAGTGTTGAGTCGACTTCGCACGATACTTCCATGCTGGACTCCTTGTACAAGAACTTGATCGCACTCGTGTACCTGTTGACTGTCGATGCCGTGTTGTACGTTCTTGACAACAGCTCGTTACCTTGCTTGTCGCGTTTCACGGACACGTAGGAGAGGTACATCTTGCACACATTCTCTGGAAGAGGTAACATTATGGTTTCGCCCACAACATGCACCGGGTTATTGGATTGCAGCCATCGCTTGAAGTGCGAGACCATGGTGTTGTAATGCTGCCTTGTACCCTCCAGTAGGCGAAGGCGTATGACGTCGTCGCCTGCCTCGGCCTCGCTCTCGTCAGCCTGACGTTTCCGGCCCATCAAACAAAAACTCCTTGTAAGTTATGCGGTATTTGCTACGGATAACCACTTTCGTAGAAGTTTCGTAATCCCAGCCAATCTGTCGATTACTCGATAGGTATACAAATATCAAGTACTGTAAATCTGGATTGGTTGGGGTTACGAAACTCAGACGAAACTATTTGTTTCGCAGTCCTATGGATTATCCGGCTATTACTTTCGTAATCCCCAACTATTGTAGTATAAATACCATGTACTGTACTAGTAATAAATTCCATATTTATCATAACGTTAGTAGCGTCGTATTGTTCATGTGAAATCGCGCATCAAACATTGAAGTTTCGTCAGTTTCGTCAATCTTCAACCTAAATTAGCCCAACCTAAACTTTGAATTTTGTATCGCTTTGGCTCGTATAACGTTGAGATTAGGCTCCAAGATTGTGGAATGAAAATATGTATGGGAAACTTGGCGAATACGACAATTCTATCCGACATTAGTCATATTGGTTAAAATTTCAATACTTCGTACCTTTCATTGGTAGATGACTCTTCATTTTAAATACAAAGACCAAATGTCGTATGTTGGTTTTTATACAAGTCTCTGACGAGGTGAGGACATGAACCGTGAGGAGCATCCTCTGCACGCAATACACGTGGCACACGACG